CCCGGCAGGCTCGGCGGCCGTGGCTCACGGGCCCAGCCGCTCCGCGGCATGTGGGATCTTCCCGGACCGGAGCACGACCCCGTGTCCCCTGCATCGGCAGGCGGACTCTCAACCACTGCGCCACCAGGGAAGCCCATCTGTGTTCTTACTTTTCTGTCTTAGAGGTTCGCAGCCTTGTTTTTCTCTCCTCCACGGTGAAATTGAAGAGAAATAGGCAAAATTTTCCAATAGAGTCAAAAGTGCTACACTGAGTTATAACTAACTACCTTAGTATTTTTTCCAATGTCGATGTTTTCTGTATCCTTTTAATCCTAAACCCTCCTTCTAAGCCTCAGAAAAGTACAGATACACCTCATATCACCATGTGACCTTCAAGTAACTGGAAGATGGTAGCCCAGAGCACAGGAAGGGGAGTAGCCCTGACCTAGAAGGCTAATTCTCAGGTCTGGAATGTCTGACTCATTGTAGACACTCAACTCCAAGTGCATGAGACCTACATATGGCCATAAAGGACTTTATGTTTATCCCCAAATGACGCATATGATCCCCAAAGGTTTAAATTACTATCATGCTCGTGTGAAGTTCTTAATGCCATGTCTTTGGTGAAGAATGGCACTAAGTATAGCATCTGAATAAAAATATATAGTCTTGGTCTTGCCAACATCCTTTGGTAGAAAATTTTTGATCCCTGTTAAGCCAGAATGCACAGTGTAGAGCAAGCTTTGGAGTCAAGTTAAGTTTAAATTCCAGTTTTACAGACTGTTAGCTATTTGGACAAGTTGCTTCATCTCAGATTCATTTTCTGTCTTTGAATTAGGGTTAATTATGATGCATAGTAGTTACAAGAAATATAATAAACATGTAAAGTGCCTGGCATATAGGCATGCAATAAATTGTGACCATTACTATAATACTTCATTGATATTCCTAAGTGCACTAATTTCCTTAGATCAGTTTGAACCAATGACACCAATTTTTTTTTTTATTTCCAGGAATGTTTCTCCAGTGGGTACTTTGTGCTGCCATATGGTTGGTTGCCTTGGTGGTCAATCTGATATTACATTGCCCTAAGTTTTGGCCTTTTGCAATGGTTGGGGGCTGCATTTGGGCAACAGGTAGTATTTGATATAATTTATTCTTTAATCATTTTATGCTATGATCAAAATAAATCTGGTTCATAATAAAAGGAAACTAAATGAACAATTTAGTTTCTTTCATTTATATGGTCCATAAATATTTTTGGTATGTTTCCTGACTCTTTCCTTTTAATGATTTCTTTCTTAGTTCCTGGTAGATAATTATGATAGTAAAACTATTACTATATATTATATATATAATTATATAAAATTATTATAGGAAAAATGTTTCACTCGCTATCTGTTCAAGCATAACTCATATATTAGTTTAAGTGCTCTGGTCTTTCTTTCTTTCTTTCCCATTATGTTTGTCAGAAAATATTTTTTAAACAGTCGTTTCTACTACTATCATTTTTAGGACTTGTCCTTAAAAGTAGACAAACACAGACACATTATCATTTCAAAAGCACTGGCAGAAAAACAAAAGCAAACAAAAATCTTCCCTCTGTTGCCTTCTCACTGTTGCCTGAAGTTATATAACTAGAATTTGCACCTTTGCTTGGCCAATCAGGAATGTTTTTCTTCTATTAATATAAATACACCCCAGGAGAGTTTTCTTCTCTTTAGCAAAGAGAATCCCAAGTATCAAGGCTCTCTAGAGGCAATTTGATTAAAAGCAAATAAATTTTTAAACGTTAAAAATGTATTGGGTAACTACTTAATTTGAATCTCTACAGAATTAAGTGATTTAGTGAAGATGATGAGTTGGAGGACAAAAGAGTTAACTTTTAAATTTCCACTAGAGTTGTAATTATTATAGCTCACTTATACCTTAGTATGCTTACGATTGTCATGTCTAATGGGAGAGGGGAACAGAGAAAGCAACCATTCATCCTGCAGATCTTGACAACCATCATAGTATCTATATTCACCCAGCAGGTCCCACTGGGAGTCAGTGGGTTACAGTCTAGTTTGAGAACTGCTGCAGACGGGGATGCTGTAGGTTACAGTAGCTGATTGGATGTGGGGAGCAGAGGAAAGGGAGGACAGAATGGTAATGTAGGGATTTTCTCGTAAGTGATTAGGTGAGTGATGGTGTCATTGACTTGGATGAGGAAAACAGGGAAAAGGACGTGTCCGAAAGTGAAAATAATGAGCTCAGCTGGGACCTTTTGAGCTGAAAGTTCCTGGGGTTGGAAATTTCTTCTTTTTTTTTCTTTTTATAAATTTATTTTTGGCTGTGTTGGGTCTTCGTTGGTGCATGCAGGCTTTCTCTAGTTGCAGCGAGCAGGGGGCTACTCTTCGTTGTGGTGCCCAGGCTTCTCATTGCGGTGGCTTCTCTTGTTGCAGAGCACAGGCTCTAGGCATGTGGGCTTCAGTAGCTGTGACTCACGGGTTCCAAAGCGCAGGCTCAGTAGTTGTGGCGCACGGGCTTAGCTGCTCTGCGGCATGTGGGATCTTCCCGGACCAGGGCTCGAACCTGTGTCCCCTGCATTGGCAGGTGGATTCTTAACCACTGAGCCACCAGGGAAGCCCTGGAAATTTCTTATTGGCACTAAAACTCTGGGGAAGGTCCAGGCTAGCTCTGGGAGCATGTGACTCTAGCTGATAGCTGAAACCATGAAACTTGTCAAGTACCCAAAGAAGAATATAGCAAGAGGAGGGGTGTGTTCTAGGGAACGTATTCAGAGGGCACCTAAATCTGGAAGGTGTGATGCGAAAGAGCAGTCAGAGAAAGAGAGAAACAGGAGGGAACTGGGAGATGAAGAGATCTTGGAAACCAAGAGAGGGAACCTTTCCAGAGGAGATTGACTGAGACCAGACAGCCAGTCAAGAACTGGAAAGACCAACCATGAATTTAGTCCTGAGCACGAAGCACTGGGTGAGGGAATCCAGAAGACAAGTGGGTGAGCATGGGAGAGCAAAGTCTGGGGCCGTACTGAGACAGGGACATCTGCCAGTGGTTGGCCCTGGTTTGAGTCGTAGGGGATGGTCACTACTGATTTTACCATTGACCAGCTTCTGCAAAAAGACATAAAACAGAGACCTATGCTAAGGATGAAGAGCATTGGTGCAGTTAGGCAAGGGGCTAATTCAGCATTTTCTCTGTAGGATTTTGCCCTAACCTGGCTCTTTTAGCAGTCATAATCATGAGTTTAAATGCCAAAACATGTGGCTGTTTTATTTTTTAAATGATGAATTGTGCTTTACTAAGTTTGTCCAAATCCCATAAGCTTTTTTTTTTCATTTTTATTAAATCTTTATTTTGTTTTATTTTTAAAAATTTTTATTGAGGTGTAGTTGATTTACACTGTTGTGTTAGTTTCAGTTGTACAGCAAAGTGAATCAGTTATACATATACATATAACTACTCCTTTTTAAGATTCTTTTCCCATATAGGTCATTACAGAGTATTGAGTAGAGTTCCCTGTGCTGTACAGTAGGTCCTTATTAGTTACCTATTTTATATATAGTAGTGTGTATGCATCAATCCCACTCGTCCAGTTTATCCCTCCACCCCCCCTTACCTCCTGATAACCATAAATTTATTTTCTATATCTGTAACTCTATTTCTGTTTTGCAGATAAGTTTATTTGTAGCCTTCTTTTAGGTTCCACATGTGAGCAATATCATATGATATTTGTCTTTGTCTGACTTACTTCACTTAGTATGATCATCTCTAGGCCCATCCACGTTGGTGCAAATGGCATTACTTCATTCCTTTTTATGGCTGAGTAATATTCCATCGTATATACGTACCACATCTTTTTTATCCGTTCCTCTGTTGATGGACGTTTAGGGTGCTTCCATGGCTATTGTAAATGCAAATCAAAGCTACAATGAGGTATCACCTCACACCGGTCAGAATGGCCATCATCAAAAAACCTGCAAACAATAAATGCTGATGAAGATGTGGCGAAAAGGGAACCCTCCCATGAGCTTCAGTTGAAATTAAAATAAAAATTAATTCAATTGATATACTTGTTTTCTGTATTGGAAATAACACCTTTCTTCTGTATATTTCATCTACAGGGAACATTGCGGTTGTCCCAATTATCAAAACCATTGGTCTGGGCCTTGGAATCTTAATCTGGGGATCATTTAATGCCTTAATCGGCTGGGCAAGCTCAAGGTAACACAAAGCAAAGTCTTTCAACTATGATTCTCTGCACTCACACTCTGTGTAAGGCCAGTGCTGAGAATGGGACTAGCTGAGAGGAATAATGGTTGGTTCCTACCCTCACAGTGGTCACTACTGGTAAGGCATACACTTAACATATGCTACCTTGAATTACTATTTCCCTTAAGTTCTAAAGAAGTGATCTAACACTCTGATCAAGATAAAGAATTGTCTCTAGGGAACAAAGTAGGGAGAGAGAAAGGACACTGATATTTATGTTCCCTTTCTATGTGTGGCAATTTGCTGGACATATTGTATACATTATTCCCATCTCATTTTCACAACTATATGAGGTAAGTGCTATCTTATAAGAGAACTGACACACAAAGAAGATGAGGAACTTGCTGAAGTTCACAGAGCTAATCAGCCCGATTCAGACCCAGGCCTGCTGGTTCTAAAGCCCATATTCTTCCCTCTAGGGTCTGAGCCAGTGTCAGCAAACCCTGGTCCAGCTTCCCAGCCATTTTTGTAAATAAAGTGATATTGGAACACAGCCAAACACATCCATTTAAGGAGTGTCTGTGACTGCTTGTTCCCTATAATGGTAGAGGTGAGTAGTCGCAAGAAGCCACCTAGCCCGCAAAGCCTAAAATATTTACCCTCTGGCCCTTAAAGGGAAAGTTTGCCAACCTGCAGCTCTAGAGCTGAGCTGTCCAGATAGGGTCACCGCAAGCCACATGTGGCCATGTGTATTTAAATTTAAATTAATTAAAATGTGATAAAGTTAAGCATCGAGTTCCTTGGCTGCACTGGCCACGTGTCAAGTGCTCTATCGCCATATCTGGGGGAAGCTGCCCTATTGTCTGGTGCAGCCTGGGAACAGCCTCATCATCTGAGAAGATCCTTTTGGACTGCATCACCCTCAGTCAGCATTAAGATGAACATTCAAGTTGAGTTTGGGAAAGTAAATAGAAAGGGAGCTTTTACTCTAACCTTGCTTTCCGGGCCCCTCTTCCCGCTCAAAACACTACAACAGCCTCAGTTATAACAAAGCCAACTAACTTCCAGTACATTCTTACCTGTCCTTTCCTCATCCCCGCCCTGCTTTTTACAAATACTATTTTCTTTTTCCTGTCCTTGCCTCCTTTCTCTGGCCCTGGATGGTTCACAGTGATTGTCAGTGATGATCACTACAACCTGAAGACATGGAAAAAAAAAAAAAAAAAAAAGAATTTGAAGGGATGCCAAAGAGCAGCGTTCTTTAACCAAGCAGTTATTGAAGTCTATTTCAAGTATTATACAAAGTAGCAGTCAACTCATCAGCATTCAATTACCCACTTAATCTATTTTTTCTCCCTTCTTCCTTAGTCTTAATGAGAAAGGGACTTTTCTTTTAGACAAGTACTTTTACATATACTAGCTCATTTAATCTTAAGAAACCTGTACGTGAGGTATAATTATAGGTATAATCGTCCCAGTTTTAAACATGGGAAATTGAGGCACAATGAAGATAGTTAACTTATCCAAGTCACAGGTAGTAGGTGAGGGACCTAGGATTTCAATCCGGGAATCTGACCCCGAGTCCGTGGCCTTAAACACTGTGATGAACACATATTCAACAATATCTACTTTGATATGACTCTTTCAATTTCCAGGTTTGGCTGGTTTGGAATGGATGCAGAAGAGGTGTCAAAACCACTGCTCAATTACATCGGAGCCGGGCTGTCAGTAGTAAGGTACATGGCCATTTCTTATCCTGTTTTTTGGGGTTTTTTTTTTTTTTTTTGTGGTACGCGGGCCTCTCACTGTCGTGGCCTCTCCCGTTGCGGAGCACAGGCTCCGGACGCGCAGGCTCAGCGGCCACGGCTCATGGGCCCAGCTGCTCCACGGCATGTGGGATCTTCCCGGACCGGGGCACGAACCCGTGTCCCCTGCATCGGCAGGCGGACTCTCAACCACTGCGCCACCAGGGAAGCCCCATGGCCATTTCTTATGATTTAACTCTTCCCAGCATTCAGAACACTTGTTAAAGATCCTGATGTGTGGACATTGCTTTACACCCTCGTCTCATCAATCAACATGATTTTTTCTCAGATTCTTCATTTACATTGACAGGCATGGCTTCAGGGGACAGAAAGTATCAGCTCTGGGGTCAGGGGCCCCAGCCTTAGTGGTCAAAAGGTCTGAGACCCTGGGAAACCTTTTAGCTGCTGTGAAGCTTATTTTCATTATCTGTAATATTCAGAAAAATCATAAGACATAGCTCATAAATGAGGATCAAACGGAATTAAAGTATTTAGCGAACTAGAAGATGCTATAAGTCAATGTTATTCTGGCTTCCTGATGGTCTGAAATAGCCACTGATTCTCTCTTATTACTCATGTATTCTTTCCCTCTCAGTCTCCACCTTCCTGTCACGTCACTCAGCTCTTCTCAACCCGCTCACATAACCACTCTCTCACCTGTGACAACACACACTCATGTAAATACCTGTTTGGGGATGTCTAGTTATATTCACTGTCTGAATGGCAGTGTTCAGTCCATAAAACCATCAGAATTAGGTCACCTTAGATTCGGTCCCTTTTCCTCTCTAGACTCCATCTGTATTTCCTGTCAGCACCTCTCATAATGGATAGTATGGCCTGCGAAGATTTTAGTACTTTTTTCCTCTTCAGGGGAAGAACACTATATTTCCCTTCCTCCTGCAGTTGATGGCTTTTCTCCAGCTACATTCAGGAACAATCTCTTTGTCGTTGAAATGTTGCCTTAGAGAGTTCTTCCAGGCCAATCGGAGAGGAAATAACATGGATTATTCTAAAATAGCAGATTCTTGACATTTTCGGTTAGAGGCAGTTTTGTATATTTTGTACAATTCACATAGCATTCAAGCTTTGAAGAGCTCTCTCAAAAAACGTTTCTTTACACCCCAAAATTGGAATGTAGAATGCCTTCGTCTTGACTGAATGATAATTTGAGGCCAATTTATCCAGTCCATCAGGCTTTGTTTTTCTCCATGTTCCTTCTTTCTAATTTAGAAAGTGTACATTCTCTAAAATTACAAATTATTCACGTTCTATCACTTCTACTTGTGTGACCTTGGGCAAATCACTTAATCTCTGTAAACCTTGGTTTCTTCATCTGGGGATAATAATTGCAAAATATCCTCATAGGATATTTTGAGGATTAAATAAATATGTTCAGTGCTATGTATAGTGCTAGACACATGGCTAATGCTCTATATGGTGGGTAATTTTAATTACAATAGTCACTCTTTTAATTAATAACTATTTCATGTTTGGTTACTGTTACCCCTTTGGGCCTGTGTTGTCCAACTCAACAGTTAACTAGCCAGCGTGTCTGGGGGTCACCCAACTTAGTCTGGATCTTGGTCTGAGGCAGGAAAATGCAGTGGTCTCTTCTATGGTGCATCCTGGCTCCCTTCTAAGTTTCTTTTGTTGACCTGAAACAAATAGACGGCCAGATTGTCCCCAGCAAAAATGGGTTTATTCAGGATCAGCAGAGAATTGCAGTTCAGGGTCTGCAACCATGGCGAGCCAGTACAAGCCCCTCACATCAAGGGAAGGAGAAGGCTTCTATAGAGGACACAAGGAAGTTGGGAGGGTTATAGTAAACAAGGAGTCCATGGCTGTCCTTTGGCTGAGGCCTGGCCAGGAAGGAAGAGGGGTCTGTCTCTTTCCCGTTGGGCTCTGCTATGATCACAGGGCATGGGAGCTCTCCATTCTGGTCTCTCGACTCTATTTAACTGAGGTTTCTGTCTGTTAATATTTTTTACCCTTTACTAAAAGGAATTTCTGGAACCTTTCCATTTTAACTCCGTTAAATCAGTTTGCTCTGAAGGGAATTCATTGAAATGACTTGGAGTTTCATAGCCAGTATAAGGAAACTTGGAATCTGGTTGCATTTGTTTAGGATGTTGCTTTTCTTTTTAAAATGGAAACAATTGCTCCCATCCTCTGTATAGTCAATTGTAAAGCGTTGCTAAGGTCATATCTAGCCTTACATCTTCCCTACTGTTATCCAGGTTAAGTATCAGTCAGTTTCCATATCCAAGACCACCCCAGGCATCTTAAACAGCAGAGGATTTAGCACAGGGAATTGTTGACAAAAAGTGTTATAAAGCCCAAAAGAGCAAAGAGGGAAGGTGGCATCACCCAAAGCCCCAGGGCACCCACCCCAGCTGGCACTGTGGGGAGAAATGTGTCTGCCCTGAGCTGCTGACACGCCTGCAGCCACCCAAGGCAAGATGATGCCCGACCCCACTCCACCCCCACCGCTGGCAAAGCCGAGATGAAACACAGTTTGGGCAAATGTAGTTTTCAGTCTTCTAGTCCCCATGGTTCAGGGTGGAAGTGGAGCGGATGCCAAGAAACAAAGTCCAGGACACTCTCTTAGACATGCTTCAGTGAAGATCCAGGAGTCGGAGTTCACAAGAAGACAGATTTCCCTTCCAATTAAAAAAAGGCCTTGAGGACTTCCCTGGTGGCGCAGTGGTTAAGAATCCACCTGCCAATGCAGGGGACACTGGTTCGAGCCCTGGTCCAGGAAGAGCCCACATGTCTCGGAGCAAATAAGCCCATGTGCCACAAGTACTGAGCCTGCACTCTAAAGCGCTCGAGCCACAACTACTGAGCACACGAGCCACAACTACTGAGCCTGTGTGCCACAACTACTGAAGCCTGCGTGCCTAGATCCCGTGCTCCATAACAAGAGAAGCCACAGCAGTGAGAAGCCCGCACACCACAAGGAAGATTAGCCCCCACTCGCAGCAACTAGAGAAAGCCCGCGCACAGCAATGAAGACCCAACGCAGCCAAAAATAAATAAATTAAATTTTTTTTAAAAAAGGCTTTGAATTATCCTTGAATCTACTCTCCATTCTTTTCTCTACTTCCTTAACTTGCTTCCTTTGTAGAGTTGTGTTGTGAGGAAACCCAGATCTTTGACTCTAGCGGTTATCTTTCTTCAGAGCCACAGTCCTTACGTAGAACTGCGGATCAGGCTAAACATCTCGACGTGCATGCCCCCCGGGGGCCTCCTACTCCATCTCAGGTGGGGCTACCTGTGGAAGGAGACCCTGCCAGGTCAGGCTCAAGGTCAGCACTGCACAAACCCTGGGCTGGTGGTTCCTTTCTATTTACCTTCAACATTTCCCAATCAGAATTACTTTTCTTACTTTAGCCTTCCCTGAAAACTGGTCTCTCTTCCTGCGTTCCTTCTCTCCGTAGAAGGTATTAGCCACAGTCATTCAAATTCAGAACCTCGGGCATCCTGAATATTTTTCCTTTGTACCCGACCCCATATCAAATCCTGTAAAATTCTTTCTGAATCTTTCACAGGTTCCCCCTCTCCTTTCCCTCGGTCCCATACTACCTACCCACCTGTATACAGTTGTAAAAATCTCACATCTCAGTTCCCTAGTTCCATTCTTTCCTGTTGCCAGTACGACTTGCTTGTATCTGCTCTCAAATCAGGACATCACTCTTCTATTTAGGAACCCCTGAAGGCTCCCCACTGGATTCAGAATAAATATGTCTCCTTAATCCAGCATGTCCTCCACAGTTAGAGATTCAACACATCTTCCTAACACAGTTTCGCCCTGGGTTGTCAGCTCACTGACCCAGGATTACTTATCATACCCGACACTTCCTTCAGCCCCCAAAGCCCTTTCCTCTGCCTCCCTGAAATATCAGTTAAGATTTCCCATTCTATATGATGTTTTCTTGATTTTCTTCCTAATTATCAATGGAATGAGTCGCCCCTAAACTCCCATTGGATTTTGCACTTCTGTTACCTACATCCTCAGGGTCTGTGTTGTATTAGTCAGTCAACCCTCTTTATCCTTAAACTATGAGATCCTGAAGGACAAAGTCTGTTATTTTCTTTGTGCACCATTTCTCCCACCATCACTATCAGACTTCGCTGCACAGTGCTTGACATATAAAAGATGCTTGTTGAAATCAGTTGTCAGTGTAAACACACACGTGAGTTTTACTAATAGCAATGTGTATAGGGGTGCAAATCTAGGGAAATTGGAAAGGTTGAAAGTACAGAGAAGTACCCTTGCGTATAACATATTGATTTATTTTTAAAGTTTCCCATGCTTTTGAAAGCATTCGCAGACTCGATCATGCAACTTTGTGTTTGACACACTGTACCAAGTTCTTCAAGTCCGTAGCCCAGAAGACCTTGTGATCTATTTGGCTTTATGTTCATATCCGTAAGATACATCTCATTACCTTGTCCTAACTTGGTGCCACCAGATTCCCTCTTGACCTAATCGAGCTGGATTCTTCTTTCTGACTCACCCATTTCATGTCTAGTTATACAGGCTCAGATCACTGATTCCTTACTCTTCATGTCTTCCTCATGCTCAGCACCCCATCTCCCTTCCAATTTGTAGTGAAACTTCTCAACTGACTAACATATTTTGAGATTTTATCATGTGCCAAAAAGTACCCCGAGAATTTTGTAGCCATTACTATTTAATTCTCATCACAGTTCTGTAAAGTGGGTGTATCTCCATTTTTTATTTTATTTATTTATTTTTATTTCTTAAAAAAAATTTTTTGGCTGCATTGGGTCTTCATTGCTGCGTGCGGACTTTCTCTAGTTGTGGTGAGCGGGGGCAACTCTTAGTTGTGGTGCGCGGGCTTCTCATTGCGGTGGCTTCTCTTGTTGTGGAGCCCGGGCTCTAGGCACGCAGGTTTCCATAGTTGTGGCTCGTGGGCTCAGTAGTTGTGGCACGTGGGCTTCAGTAGTTGTGGCTCACGGGTTCTAGAGTGCAAGCTCAGTTGTTGTGGTGCACGGACTTAGTTGCTCTGTGGCATGTGGGAGCTTCCCAGACCAAGGCTTGAACCCGTGTCCCCTGCATTGGCAGGCGATTTTCAACCACTGTGCCACCAGGGAAGTCCCTCCCCATTTTTAGATGAAAAAAGTTGAGGGTCAGAGAGGTTAAGTGATTTGTTGGAGGGTCACACAGTTGTTTGAATAAGCACTCTAGGGCTTTTCTCTGTGTCCTTCAAATATATTTCTAACATATCATCCTCTATTGCTATTAGAAAAACAGATGGGTCTATACAAAGTAGAGGGTTTTCATGGTAACTTTGAGAAGAAAATGCAGTTGCAATGTCTAATGTTAGCTTTGCGAATTAACATATATATGAGCGCACACACATGCCTATTTAACAATTAAGATAGACACATATAATCAGGTTTTATGCATTCAGTTTTACTGAGTGTCAGGTACTTCGAGGACCTTGAAGCAGATGGAAAATGTGGTTCCTATCTTCTATTGAATTGGAAAGTCTTTAGAGAAAAAAGATTATGTGGACCTGTGGCAGATGGTCTGGACCGTGTGATGACGATTCTCAGTGTTTCGGGAATTCAGAGAAGAGGACGATAGGGGGGGACCAGCCGGGGGTGGGGCTCCCTTCTCACAGTCAGCACTCCACGTCTTCTCTAGCTTGGGTAAGAGGTGAGGACACGGTGTGTCCAGCTAAGGAAGGCTCACAAGCAGGACGTACAAGCTTGGAGCAGGGGCTGCTCAGGGAAAGAAGTCCATGGGAGAATTATGTTGAGAAAGGTTGAATGGGGCATGAAGCAGAGAGCAGTAAAAATCAAAGCGAAACTTGAATTTCCTATGGAAGGGAATATGGAACCATTCACGTTTATAAAGCAGCCAAGAGACTGAACTAAGGAAGCTAACTCGACATTTTAAATTTTTGAACAAAAGATAGCATATCTGGGTTCACTAGTCTGCACTCAGCTACCTATACTATTTCAGTCTCGTGTGTGCTTTGAAAACTTCTTATATTGCTTTAACTTTTGAACCATGCAAATGTTTTTAAAAAGGAATATCAAAAGTATACCAAAGTTGTTAGTTTCCTTCAGCTAATTCAATATTTTAACACATTTTAGCATTTTGGCATGGTTCAAAAGTCAAGGTCAGTGAGGCATTTGTTACAAAGATACTGTACATGAATTGTCAGTGCCTTGGGAGAGAGAGGTTAAAGGGCAAAAAGGCATTAGGCTTACACGTGTTTTTATATACTCTGGAGGTCTTTCCATATCAGAGCACAGAGGGCATCCTCATTCCTTTTTTATGGCTGTGTCATATTCCACTGGATGATCATGAAGCTCGGCTCACCTGAGTGTGGCTGGGCTTGTGTTAGAGGTCCTGGAGTGGGACTGGTAGGGACAAGAGTGGACACACCTATGCCTTTGGTACATGGCCTCAGGGTCTCCTCTGCAGTGGTCACATGCTTCTGCACTCACACCAGTGGTACTTATCTCCTCGAGTTTGTCCAACTGAGGATGTTAAGCTTTGGGGGGGGGGGGGG